CCTGAGATGACAGAAATGTTTATAAAATTCCTTTAATGTGATATGTTAACAAGGTTGAACGTTTGCTGCAACATTCTAAGGAGTGTTTTGGACGTTGTTGGGTAACACATTAAGAAATGTATCGTTTATAAAACTTTCCTCAATGTTACCATGATAAACAAATGAAGACATTCTCCAGAAACATCTGAAATGTTTTCAGGATGTTATTGAGGCCGAAGATGACAGAAAGTGTTTTATAAATGTTCCTTTAATGTATATGTTAACAAAGGTGGAACTTTTTTTATAAAACGTTCCTGTTATGGCAAATATTAAACCGGTCACATAGGCACGTCAGATTTATTTTAGAGCGCCTTTAAAAAACAAACTTGTTGCATTTGTTTGAAAAGGATGTTTTAAAAAAAAATCTGATGTCACATATTTTCCTTTTGAAAAACAAACAAGCACGTATCCATCAGTAAGCTGTAAGCAGATACGTTGCATGTTTGCGGTGGCATGTGTAGTTCCAGCTTGAAATGTTGTTACCATTCGTTGTTCTAGGAATGTTTTCAGCCGGGACGATTTTATTTTGGTTCCCGAATTTTCTTTCTGAAAGGTAGGATAACGTTCTTTAAAGACATTCTTGAAATGTTTGGTGATAACCTTTTAGTGTTTTTGATACCTTCTTAAGATGTTTTTGATAACATTATTAGAAAATTATGCCCTACAGTTCTTAAAACGTTTTCAGCGGAGGCGTTTTATTTTGGTTCCCAGAATGTTCTTCCTGAAAGGTAGCGAATAACGTTCTTTAAAAACTTCTTGAAATGTTTGGCGTAATACTTCTTGAAATGTTTTTGATGACCATTCCTTAAGAATGTTTTGATAACCTCTTAAGATGTTGGTTGATACATTGTTGCATTATGCCACTACTATTTTAAAACGTTTCAGCGGGAAGTTTTAGTTTGGTCCAGTTTCTTCTGAGGTAGGATACGTTCTTTAAACATTCTTGAAATGTTTTGGTGATCCTTAGCGGTGAGAGAGGTTATTTGAATAACCTGCTTAAGATGTTTTGATAACATTTTAGACATTTCCTACTATTCTTACGTTTTCCAGCGGGAAATTTTTAGTTTTTGTTCCAGATTTTTCTGAAGGTAGGTACGTTCTTTAAACATTCTGGAATGTTTGGTGTACCCTTCTTAAGTTGTTTTTTGATAACCTTCTAAGATGTTTTGATAACTTATCACTTATGCCTACTGTTCTTAAACGTTATTATCACGGGGAATGATAAATATTATTTGGTCCCAGAATGTTCTTCTTGAAAGTAGGATAACGTTCTCCTAAAAACAGTTCTTACCATTTTTGGGAAACTTTACTTAAGATGTTCATGAGCGCATACATACTTAATAATAAGTGCAGTTCAAATTCTCATACATGATAGAAAGGAGGTTTCAAACTTCCATTTATAACCTCCTTTAGCTTAGGAAACCACCAAACAACCGATTAAGACGAGAAATTATATCAGGCTTACGGTGCTTATTAAGCATTTTATAAACGTATGGCGGTAAGTTGCCAAAGTGCTTTGTTTTGAACGTATCATCAGTAATTCAATCAAAAAGAGAAATATGAACGTTAGTTTTACTGAAATTAATTAAATAAAGTCAAATTTCTAGACTGTGGTGGGTTTTGTTCAACTTTTAAAATATGGTTTTGAAGTGTGGATAATACACCAGTGATAGATGTTTAAGGACTAACAGTTTTATAATCAAATACATCCCAGCTAGACGGGGAACGTTTCTCACAAACCTTTGCTAACGTTACCTATTGGTTCTAACAAGGTTTTGAAGAAACGTTTTAATCTGATGTTAAAGAACCTTTTTAGAATGTTTATTTGTTCAAATAATGTTCCTATAAGGTTTAAGGTTAACTAAGACATAACGTTTTAATGGCAACATTCAAGAAGGATATTTTGAAGGATGTTATATGAGGCCTTTCAATGTTGATATGTTAACAAAGGTGGAACGTTTTGCCTGCAACATTCTAAGGCGTGTTTTGGACGTTGTTGGGATAACACATTAAGATGTTCTAATACTAACAAACATTCCCTCAATGTACATGATAACAAATAAGAAAATTCTCCAAGCAACATTCGAAATGGTTTTCAGGATGTTAATTGAGGCCTGAGATGAACAGACAAGTGGGTTTATAAAATGGTTCCTTTAATGTGATAAGTCAACAAAGGGTGGAATGTTTTGCCTCCAACATTCTAAGATGTGTTTTGGACTTTGTTGGGGTAACACATTAAAGATGTTCATTTTTATAGAACATTCCCTCAATGTTACATGATAACCAAAGAAGAACATTTTGAAGCAACATTTGGATAATGTTTTCAGTGGAGTTTATTATTTTTTTTATAAAATGTTCCTGTGATCGAAATATTAACAGGTCATGGTCAACCGTCAGATTTATTTGTAGTGCGCTTTAAAAAACAAAGCTTTTTGCATTTGTTTGAAAAGATGGTTTAAAAGACAAAATCTGATGTCACCACACATTTTCCTTTTTTTTGAAAAAAACAAGCATGTCATTCATGATATTCAGTTTGCGTAGGCATGTCTGAGTTCCCAACTCAGACATTGTTGGTTCTTAAAAACATTCTGAGAATGTTACCATTCATTGGTTCTAGGAATGGTTTCCAATCGAGAAGTTTTTATTTTGGGTTCCTAGAATGTCTTCCTGAAAGTAAGGAATAACAGTTCTCCTAAAAATATTCTTAAAATGTTTGAGTGATAACATTGGTTTCGAGACATTATACCACCAAGTGTTTTTGTTGTTTATGCACACTACCTATCTCTATTGTCATAATGGATCGAATAACACTTAGAAAACCAAAGACAGACATATAGAAGAACGACCGACTATCACTGGCCCGTCCCTGAAACCCCTGTTATTGTTTGTAATGCTGTTTCTTTCTACTGTGTGTCTCTCCTCCTCTGCCTGCTGGTATGCCCTAACACGGCTGGGAGCAATCTCCCAATCAACCACACCTGAACCTGCTCGTCAGCCACACTATGAAAGCCTGCAGCCGCCAACTCATTCCCTGCCGGATTGTTTGCCGTGAACGGTTTGTTGCCGTGCCGCTCTAGCTTTTTACCAGCATATTCTTTTACAATGTTGGCCTGCTTTTTGCCGCACACTGATTTTTGATTATCTCCCAGAGGAATCCAAGGCCCTTCTCCACACTCCCAAGGCCAGCCAGGCCTCTCTACCCACCCTGGAACAACTGTTTCCCACTGCCCGCCATACCGCCAACCTTCCACTCCCAGCCTCCCCTTTTCATAATAAGACAAATGTTACTTTCACCAGCCTGATTCCGTGTCATCCTTTTACATGTGTTAATAGCTCACAATTCCAATGCTAAGTAAACTATCATAAATCATTCGCGGCCGCGGGGGAACTAATGACCACCAGTGGTCAGTCCACTTACTAGACCTCAGAAAACGCCATCTGTTACGCATAATCAGCAATTGGCGCAGATTTAAAAAAAGCGCATATTTATCAATAAGGCCACAATAATCCATGCATTTTTCCACACAAAGTTGAGAAAGAAAAAAGTTAACTCGTCTTGACGTGACGTCATCAGCTCGCGCATCACAGAATGTAAACAACACTGTAGTAGAGCTCATTTACAACGAACATTTCTACCTAAAAGACGCAAAAGTGGGGGAAAACTATTATGCCGTGCAACTGTGTGTTGCAGCATAAGAGAAAATGACGGTGGCGACCCACTTGATTCATTCACCATTCGAAATGCTTTCTGCTGCTGGGAAAGAAGATTCAATCACGTTCACGAGGTCACGCTCAAACCCTTTGGAGGGCCTACAAAAAGGAACAAAAAAAAACGAAGTGAGTAGCCTACAAGATTTAAGGGTCAGATAACGAACGAGTAAATGAAAAGATGGGGGCGAGAAGTGTGTGTGGTGTGTGGGGGGGGGGGGTGGTGTGTGGTTTGAGATTAAAATAGCCCAATTGCTTTTAACAATAAATAAAACATTGATTGTGTTTAATTGAATAAGTAAAGGGTTTAACGTTAGTGCAGGTTGTGATGTGAGAGAGAATAAATAAGAACAGCCCCCCAAAAAATTTATTTAAAAAAATTGTTTATTCTTTTCCCCCGCATAATCTTAGCAACTTTCCGTATATTTACTAACTTCCCGCAATTTCACCGCATAAAATCCCATAAAACCCCGCATGTTTAATCGCATAATCAGGATTTTAGCCCCATAATCAAGGAATTTAGCCCGCATAATCAAGGTTTTTGCCCGGTTTTTCTGGAGGGTCTAACTTACCCAGGAAATTTTGAGTTGAACAATTACAGGAATATTATGTCTTTATGTTCAAATAATGGTAAACATATTTTAAGTAAATGGTTACCCCGCGTAGGAACATTTCATAATTTCTTTAACATAAACCATGTTATCCTTCCTCTAAAATAATAACATTCTGGCAACAATAAAAAATCTACTTGCATCTGAAAAATGTTTTAAGAACAGTAGGGCATAATGTTTCTACTGTTACAAAAACATTTTAAGAATGTTATTAGAGACACGTTATCAAAAAAAAAACACCTTTCAGAAAAGAACACTTCCGGGAACACAAAATAAAAGCTTCCTGGGACAGGAACATATACAGTAGGCATAAAATATCTAACATGGGGGGTGTTTCAAAAACATTTAATAAGAGGTTATCACCACAAATATTAGAATGTTTTTAGAAAAGAACAAAAAGTTATCCTACCTTTCAGAAGAAACATTCTGGGTAACACAACAACACACGCTGAAAACGGTTTTTAAGAATAGGAGGGCATAAAATTTCCTAACAATGTTATCACCAAACATTTTAAGAATGTTTTTAGAGAATGTTATCCTACCTTTCAGACGAACGTTCTGGGAACCAAACAAAAACTTCCCGCTGAAAACCTTCCTAGAACAATGACTGTAACATTCTCAGAATGTTTTTAGAACCAAACATTTCTAGCTGGGAAGTTATCAGTTCCCAATCAACATGCTAAACATACATTTATCAGCATGACAACGGTTAATACGATGTGAAGGAACCTCACCATTGCGAGGACATTGAGGAACTCCCGGGTATCAAAGTGGAGGAGAGTACGTATAAAAGGAAAGAGCTCCTCCTTTTCTAACGAGTCGCCTGAATGCCGACGGATAAGAAACTCAAACACCTGACACAGAAAACACACAAACACACAAACCATCATTAGCACACAAGAATATAAAAAGGTGTGTTTGTGTTGACAATAGTAACCTGATCAGCAGTCTATAAACACCAGGATAGCTCATCGACTTAACAAATGAGACACATGGAGCCAATTAATGAATAAAAAGCCTTTCTAAAAGTGACGGGCCATCTAAAAGTATGTGGAAATCAAGTAAAATCATACACACACAAACGACATACCTGGTTCTTGACTTGAACCACCAGGTCTTCAGGGATGTCTCCTAGTGGATACGCCCTGCCTGCAAGACAGCAGCTACAAACACACACATTTTTATATACAGTGTGTATTAACAGTGTTTAGGATTTTAACACAGTGCATGCTTCATGATATATGTGTGCAGTACATACATTGTATTGTGTTTATAAAGGAGTAGAACCCCTGTATACCGTACACTCTTCCCCTTTTATGTCTTTCATGTTCACCCTATAATTAGAGCATTAACCTCAGGTTCACAAGCCAAATCCCTACAGTATTGCCCATATTATGCATGTTATTAGCACCTCTAGAGTTTAGTGACACCTCTCATAATCACATTAAATGTGTGACTCCTCTTGACAGTGACCATGTGGTAGCAGCTGTAGGCAAATCTTGGCTATAATGTATAGCAGAGTCTGATAAACGGAGGCATTAACATACCTGATATACACCAACAGTTTGTTTCCCATCACCACTTCCTCATCTGTGCAAAAAGAAAAAATGCAAAGAAGTATAATAAAAACTATGGAGATTCTTCAAATAATTGGTGCAATGAACTCTGGGATGTGTGGTTTACAGCCTTACCTGTGAGGCCCCTCCCCTCTGTAAGTGGTGGGCCAATCACTGCAAAAAGTTTCTGAAACACAAACAAGAAGTTGACAACATAGAGGGGTATTTGAAGATGTAATATTTAATCAGTCATTGCTCAAGACCTGATTTAAAGTTACAATAAAAGGATTCATTTGCTGACAAGGAATACAGATGACCATAAACTGATTTCTTCTTTACACAAACTGAATATTTACTTTTCCACCAATCAAACAGAAACAGAGGAGCTGTGATTGTGTACCTATTGTTTTCAAAGACACCCTCACGGGGTATATTTATCTGCATTGACCTCTATATATTTTGTATCAACAGCGGCCCATCTGACCTGACCTCTATATTTCAAACATTCAACTAGTTTTGAAATGTCTTGATATGACCAATACTTTACAAATCTAATATTGGAACCTGGACTAAGGGCCCCAAACAGCTTACCTCAGCAAGAATAGGTCGAGAAGAGAAACTAGATTATACTTTGTTTACAAATTGCCATTTAAGTCCAACTGAAATCAGACTCATCCTATGGATTCAGAGACATCCTTTGAAAACATTTGCATTAACTGTGACCTGAAGGATCTACCTTCTGGTGGAGTACTTACCTCCATAGGGGTTATGTAGTCATTCATTCCGCTGTTGAAGACGTAGAGCATTGCATCATAGAGCTGGTTCTCCCAACACACTTGAACCACCTACAAACACACAGAAACACAAACCCAGAAGACGTATTGAAAATGATACGAGTGGAAATGAAAGAATAAACCAGCAGTTTTTTGCAACTCATCACAGATTGGTTTAATGGCAGCTGCTGATGGCTGTGTAGGGCATTTTTTATTCCCCATTATGTCCTTACTGAATATATATACACAAACACACACCTGCTGTATGTCCAGGCTGGTCACATCCAGATGGACAATGCATCTCTCCAGGCTGTCCATCATACCGTTGCCATGGTAATGGGCCAGGAGGTCCCTCATGATGGGTGTGGTGAGGTGACCCAGGCGGTCGGCAACGATGTACGACTCGAGGGCCTCCAGGAAGACTCCCTTAGAAACGGAGTTTTCCAGCAGCCGGTCGTACAGCTGGTTGAACATCAGGTCTCTGCACACGGGAAACACTTTTACTTCTGCTCTGTTTTAAATCACACCGGCATGTTGTATGTACTCACTAAGAGCTCACAGATCCAGTTATATTTAATAGTCCAGTTACTAGATTTGATTCAATTTTATTGAAGAGCTACATACATGTGTTCACAGCTTAAGATGCCACTGCTTTAAATGGGCCCTCTTCTGCTCATCTTCAGGGTCATATCAGTATTTAGTGTCTCTACTGGGACATGTCTCCATGCTTTAATGTTCAAAAAGCTCTTTATTTTTCTCATAATGTGCTGCAGCACCTCTTTTCACCCTCTGATTGACACCGTCGACCATGACATTCTACTCCATCGTCTTCGTTCTACAATTGGACTCTCTGACTCTGCCCTAAACTGGTTCACCTCCTATCTCACCGGGAGGACTGAGCACGTCACCTTGGGAGCGGCAAAATCAAAAACACACTGTGACCTGCGGTGTCCCCCAAGGATCAATCCTCGGCCCCACCCTTTTCACCATATACATGTCCCCCCTTGGTCGTGTCATCAGCCGGCATGGAATATCGTTCCATTGCTATGCTGATGATACACAGCTCTACATCAGAGCAAACCCAACCACCTCTGCCATCATCCACAATAACCACATGCCTGGAGGAAGCACAACTTCCTTCAGTTAAACAGCTCCAAGACTGAAGCCATTCTTGTTGGCACTCCACATCAGGTCTGTTCATCCTCCATCACCAACATTACCTTCTCCGGTCAGAACATTCCACTCTCATCAACTGATACCAATCTGGGTGTTAAAATGGACCCTCACCTGACCTTTGAGGCCCACATCAAACAAATATGCAAGACCTCCTTCTACCACCTGAGAAATATTGCGAAACTCCGCCCCACACTCAATCTGCCAGATGCTTAAAAACTTGTCCACACCTTTGTCTCTTCCAGGCTGGACTACTGTAACACACTTCTCATTGGGATTCCTAGCAAGAACATCCAGAAGCTGCAATACATCCAGAACAGCGCTGCTAGGATCCTGATGAGAGTACGGAAGTACGAACACATCACACCCATCCTCAAATCACTGCACTGGCTCCCGGTCTCACTCAGGATTGACTACAAAATCACCCTCTTCACTCATCAGTGCATACATGGAAATGCTCCCTCCTACATCAAGGAATTGCTCACCCCACAAACCTCCACGAGGAACCTACGTTCAGAAAAGGCAAACCTCCTCATCAAACCAAGGACAAAACTGAAAACCATGGGAGACCGCGCCTCCTGCTCCGCTGCTCCCAGACTGTGGATGCTTTCAAAAAAGGCCTAAAAACGTATCTTTTTAGAATAGCTTTTAACTAGATTTGTAAAACCCCCACATTATGCCATGGCGGCATACATGTCACTGCTTTTATTCTGTTGTTTTTATTGTTTTTGTTGTTTTGTTTCACCCTTTTTAATGTTGTAGCACTTTGAGTTTTGTTTACGCAAATGAAAAGTGCACTTATAAATAAAATGTATTATTATTATTATTATTATTATTACCACAGCTCAGTACAAACATTGCTGAAGCCCAAAACATTCGCTGTCAATCATAATCTCTGTCACAATTATGCAGATTTACAGGGAAGGCTGCAGGCTACGTCTCTCGTACTAATGGCTCCAGAGGGATGTATCGTAAAATATCACCTGCTGCAGTAAGTAAGTCATTTGAATATATTTGCCTCTTGATTGAAAACATCTGTAGGAATAAAAGTGATTTTCTTCCATCAATCAGGCAAAAAGCACCCAAAAAAAAGAAATCTCATCATCCAGGCAGCTCAGCATGATTTATTTATTTCAGAAGTGCGACATTAANTGCTACAATGCACGATCTATTTGGTATTTCGAGCCAAACACTTCTGTATATATCTGAGACCTATAATATATTGATGAAAAACAGTATAATAGGGGACCTTTAACAAGGTCCCCTATTATACTGTTTTTCATCAATATATTATAGGTCTCAGATATATACAGAAGTGTTTGGCTCGAAATACCAAATAGATCGTGCATTGTAGCATCCCATAATCCCCTCTGTTTCAGGCCTGTTTCAAAAGAAATGATTCTCTGACTGTTACTTAGATGAAAATAAGGCGCCACTCTGAGAGATATTTTGTTAAAAAGAACACAATGGTGCTCTAGGAGGAGATTCAGGTGATAAGGTGGGGGGGGGTTACCTTGGTTGGTTATTGGCTAATGGTTACACAAGCTAAAAAAACATTATGACATCATAGAGTGGCTAAAATCTGATCAGCTCCTTTTCAGACAGGTTTTGACATAAATGGATCAGGACAAAAAGTGAGCGAGTCTTTTTTCCTGAAACTTTCAGAAACTCTTTACGCAGAGGGGACACATGTTTATGTATACAAGACATGAAAAAGTGGATTTTGAATAACAGGTGACCTTTAAAGTATTAAGCAGGTCACCCTTTTGTGCCTGGGCATCTGGATCGTGCTGTGCTTGTATGATATACAAACAAGATCAGGGATACATCGCTCAGTAGTACAACTAGTGATCACAAACTTCAGAGAGTACTTTTAAATCCTGCAAACAATAACTGACTGCTATTGTTTCCTCTACCAGGGTCACAGTCCTAACTGAAGGCAACAAAAGCCCTATTTCAAGTGCTGTTCAAAACTGTGATGTGGAAATTGATTCGGAGGTCTGGAGCTACCCTGCCTTCCTGTTTGTGTGTATTTAAACGTTTGTGTGTGTCTCTCTGTAACTTTAGATACATATTTGAAATAATCAGATATGTGTGTTTGTTTGTTGTGTGTGTGAGTAAGTACCAGAAGAGTCGTGTGTGTTTGTGTTCAAGGTCACTGCTCCATTTCCTATTCGGGATGGTGCCGCTATCCCAGCATCCTCTCTGCCAGCAGCATTGATTATCACTCGGCAAGCATAACATCACGCACTCTCACACACACCCATACACACACTTAAACTCTCTGTGTCTCTTACACACAGCTGCTTTTGCGTCCCTCAAACAAGTACCAGAGCTTTAAACAAAGCTAGAAAAATGGCAAAATATTCCCATTTTCATACAGAGTTATGATATTTGTATCGATAAAAACTGCCGCTGAAAAAACATTACGAACCTGAGATAAGCAAAAACCAAGACATAACCATGTGAGTTAAGTGGGTTTTGATTGGTGATGTTGGAGAAATTGGGTTGTGTGTGTTTCACTGGGACTAATCTGGACTAATTTCAATTGTACTGATGTTTCTCTATTAAATCAAACAATGTCAGCAGGGTGGCCATATCTGTAATAATGAAACTTGTATACTGGGTAGAAGTCAAACTGATTTGTTCTTTCTTTCTGTTATAACAGTGGTGCAAAAAAATACAAAAAACCAACTGTGCCATGCAATCTGGGGAGAATGTTTGTGTGAGGCTCACGAACCAAACCATGTAGGAACAAGCAAAATGTGTTAGTAATAGCATGGTCGGGCAAGGCCAAATTAGTCTGAACATCTCTGTAGGAGGAATATAAATGAGTAGAGCCTTAATATGTTGAATCTTATTTAGCCAATATATTAAAACAAATTAAATGTTTTCAGGACCAAATCGCACAATCAAGTTTCAGATGTAATGCTTGTGTTATATGTTGATCATTTTGATTTGGTTATTTTATCCATCCATCTTCTACTGCTTATCCGAGTCGGGTTGCGGAGGTAAAAGTTACTTCTTTTTTGTTTATGTTGTATTCAAATAATGAGTTTTTAATTTGACAAATTCTGGAAACAATGTGTTGATTGTTGGAAACAGTATTTCCATTTCTCTTTCTGTACACACAAACTGAAAGATTGACAATAAGGTTGACTTTGACACAACTTAACATTAGACAGGGTCATTTTTCAACCTCTTCTCATACAAGCATTATTTGATTTCATATTGTGTAAGCATTTATTGTACCCTCAGTAAATAATGATCTCATCTGCACACTTTCACATGGACTACAGTTTGGAAATGATGTTATGACTCCTGGGAATTCTCAGGGGATACTCTCATTAGTCAAGTCCTCCTCTAATGCATATCTAAGTTGCCAGATAATCCACAGAGTATTTATCTCTCCACCATTTATTTCATTTGGAATCAGACTTAGGTTTTTTTACACTACTTCAAAATCATTAAAACCGGATGAATGCATCAGATTAAATCCAATCAATGTTAGCTGCTGAAATATATAACATTCTCAAATGAGCTTCCTAAAACACTCTGTAATAATAATATGAATATGTAATGTAGCTACATGGATATGTAGAAGACGATATGGAGTTGGCTTACATGTAGCTGTACACACATTGTATCTGAGTTGCAGAATTAATCTAGTGCACGCCAACTGATTTAGTATCAGTGTCACGCTGTGGCTTCTGGGTGCATTTGCTGTCTGCTAAACCTTCTCACCCACAGTGATATGACTCCAGGCACAGGACGACATGGCTTCCAGCTCAAACTTATCAATATTTATTTTCAGTGCCTCTATAAAAAACAAATCCTTGACAAGCAGGACATTGGTAAATGACAGCCTTTCAATAGCTCAGTCCACCATTACCACATATTTGGTGATATGCTGTCAAGTAGGTGCACCTAAGAGCACTAAACAGTGTGCTATATGTTGGACTTATTTAAAGAGAGATGTGCAAGACAGGAAGTGAATGACAGAAAGAAATAGAGGAAGACAGATAGATAAATAGATAGATATATGGATAGATGGATAAATGGATAGATGGATAGATAGATAGATAGATAGATAGATAGATAGATAGATATATGGATGGATGGATAAATGGATAGATAGATAGATGGATTGATAGATAGACAGATGGATGGATGAAAGAGAAAGTCAGCGAGAGAGGGATAATTCTGTTTAAGATGCTCCACTTGGTTTCAAGGGCAACTGATTCTGAAACAACAAAATAAAACATGTGTGTGTGTGTGTGTGCGTGTGTGCGTGTGTGTGTGTAATTATGTATTAGTGTGTATTAATGTGTGTAGTGTGAGGCTAGGATTACAGGCACTTAGCTCCCAGCAATATACTACTCTCATAGGTGCGAGCAAAACTCTTTGCATACTGATTAGACAACCGAGTGAGTGTGCATGCCAGTAAATGTGGGTCTATAAGGAATGACAGACTGTTTGTGTGTATGTGTGTGTGTGTCAGTATTTGTATGAACATATATGTAGGGAGTGTTACTATGTGGGTCTGGGTGAGACTGATGTTGTAAGCCCTGCAGCAACTGATAAACACATGACAGATTATTTTACACACTCACATATTAGCAAATCACCCATTAGCTTCTCTGCTAATTGCTTTTGAAAATTAGCATTGTAGCTATAAGCGTCTCCGCAAATTGCCATTGGAAAGTAGTACATTAGCATTTAGTGGTGTAAGGAAATAGCTATGGG